TTCACCAGTGCCGAGTACAGGGGCATGATCCCCTCCCTGCTCCTGCTGGCCACACCATTCCTGACACAGGCCAGGATGCTGTTGGCCCTCTTGGCCACCTGGGCACGCTCTGGCTCATGTTCAGCCAGCTGTCCATCAACACCCCCAAGTCCCTCTCTGCCTGGCAGCTCTCCAGCCAATCCTACCCAAGCCTGTAGCGCTGCTGGGGGTTGTTGTGGCCAAAGTGCAGGACCCGGTATTTGGCCTTATTGAATTTCATGACGTTGGCCTTGGCTCAGTGATCCAGCCTATCCAGATCCCTCTGGTGAGCCTCCCTACCATCAAGCAGATTGATGCTTCCACCATGCTTGGTGTCATCTGCAAACTTACTGAGGGTGCACTCCATCCCCTGGTCCAAATCCTTGATAAAATGTTAAACATGAACAGTCGCAGTGCTGAGCCCTGGGGGACACTACTTGTGACTGACAGCCAACTGGATTTAACTCAGTTGACCACAACCCATTGGACTCAGCCATCTAACCAGTTTTTCACCCAGCTAAGCGTATGGCCATTCAAGATAAGTGCAGTCAATTTCTGCAGGAGAATGCTGGGGGCAACTGTGTCGAATGCCTTACTAAAATTAAGGTAGACGACAACATCTACAGCCTTTCCTTCATCCAACCAGCAGGTCACCCTGCCATAGAAGATCAGGTTTGTTAAACAGGACCTGCCCTTCATAAACCCATGTTGACTGGGTCTGATCACCTGCTTGTCCTGCATGTGCTGCATAATGGAACTCAAGATGATCTACTCCATCAGCTTCCCTGGCACTGAAGTCAAACTGACAGGCCTGTAATTTCCTGGGTCATCCTTCCTTCCCTTCTTATAGAGGGGTGATGCATTTATTATCTTCCAATCAGCTGGGAACTTTAATCCTGTACCCCTTTACTGTAGAATGGAAAAAAAGATAAAACTTAACACCTTGTGTTTGACAATTAAAAAAAGAGAGATTTTAACAGCAAAAATCAGATACTTTTCTTAAGTTCTATTTTTTTTCTGGAATGATGGCATGCCTGGAGATGGTTGCTTTTTTCTTCTCTCAACCTCTTTCAGATCTAAATGTAAGATTTTAAATTAAAAAATAAGCATAAAAAGTCAATGCTACCTCTTTATATCTTGGGGGTTTCTTAAATGCAGTTATCATTACATTTACTTTCTTATCAGAATGACATGGTAATTACAAGTCCTTTACTGAGCTAAGTGTCTTCGTTTGGCAGCTAGATTTTGCAGCCCTGTCATATTCTGTGGAAGACAATGTTTTTAGAGTATCTTTACCTACAAAGAATCTCAAAATGTTTCTATTTAAAAAATATAGTCATAATATCCCATCAGAAATTAGCCAATGTACATAACACAACAGCTTCCTAATTTGTTGACACATTTTCAGTGATGAAGAATATATTTATCATATTAACCACCAAGAAAGCAGTTGGATCTATATATGTACTACCTTTAAGTAAATAAAATTATATACGTATTAAAAATTGGCTTGGTAATTAGCTTTAGATTATGGAGCAAGTGCACTTGGGCTTTTTTTTGTTGTCACAACTGCTGGAAAATATGTCTTGTCTATACTGTCCATACATACAGGATACAGATTTTACATTAACATAACACTACTAGAAGAAAAGCTCCAAAAATGTACATAAAAAGTACAGTGTAATTTATTTTGTAATTCTGTCTAATTATACAGGCCTATAATTTTAAATTCCAACATATGATGGCAAAATACTTTAACAAGAAATTCAGCTACATGTCTCAACAACCAAGCTTCACAGTTTCATGTTTGCCATTCTTCAAGTACCTCTATAGTAATGAACACTGCATGTCTCTCTGGAGTTTAGTGGAATTTTCAAGCCATGGCAGAATTTATTCTTAAATTAAAAAGAAAAATAAATTCAACTTTTTTTTCTACTTACATGAATGTTAATTGGGCGTTTGCGTGGCTTTAGTTAACAAGTCATATGTCTGGGTGATGAGACCAACTGTCTGCATATGGAAAGAATGTTTATAGTTTTTTTAGTATCACTTATTTGAAATTTTAGGGAAATGTATTGTGTTTACAGATTGCTTGTACAGCATCTCATTCTAAACAGCTGTATATTCAGTATGTGTTGTTTAGTTACTGAAATAGTGCAGAAAAATGTAGTGAAGTATACGATTTAGTTTGTCTTAACTTCAATACATTATTTTTTCATGTATTTTTTTAATTATTTAATATTTTGAACAGTATTACACTTAGTAAAAGTAAGGTAAATCCTCTGTCCTATAAGTCTCTTGATTTCGTAGTATGAAAAACCTGTCAGATTTTTAAATTAGTTTAGTGGCTATTTGTAGTTCAGATACATCCAACAAGCTGTATGAGTCAACAGAAGACATCTCTTTTTATAAATACCGCATTATCTAAATGGGTTTGAAAACAACCTTTGTCATATCTTAAAACAATTAGTCATGGCATATACTTTCTTATCTATGACATTTCTACCAGTGATTTTGCTGACAAGTCTTTGAAGTCAATATTAGTAAGAGAGGCTGTTCTGAATCCGTTAATTCTGATTTAGGATTGGATTAATTTTTTAAAAACTTTTTTTTTTTTAAACATGCACACACTCTGGGTGAGTTTTCTCTATCCATAGGTCACACACCGTGGTACTTCTTAACTCCTTTAGCTTTCAAAATGGGAGTGGAAGGTGCTCAATCAGGCCTGATGGTGTTTTGATAAAGCAAACAATGCAAAGACCCCTATTTTGTCTTTATAATACCTTCTGTAGTGTTTTCTGTTTTACTTATTTTAATTGTGATGTTTCACATTTGCATTTCTATGTGACTAGAAATTATATAAAAGCCTGAGTGAGGTGAAGTCTGAAGTGGAAACAGTGATAAAAACTGGGAGGCAGATTGTTCAAAAGCAGCAGACAGAGAACCCAAAGGAACTGGATGAAAGGCTTACTGCTTTGAAGTTGCAATATAATGAATTAGGTGCAAAGGTAAGCTCTGTTTTTTTAATACGAAACTATGGCCTCTTTTGAACTGGCAAAGTGAGGAATGATCTTTTCATGGTAAGTAAAGGGGGTTTTTTATTGGTTCCTTTCAAGGCCCTCACATATTCTGAACAGTGGGACAGAAAGAATGGAGGCAAAGGCAATCAGCAAGATGGCTATTCAGTTTCTCTGAGAAGAAATAACCTTCTAGAAAAAATGTAGAATTCCTTTATTATAATTTTAAATTATACTTTCCTAATGTTTTAATTTTTTTTTCTATTAGTTCATTATTTTATAGAAGTCAGAGAGGGATGTTTTTTAATTTTAATGCCTCAGTCACTTGTTTCAAAACATTACAGGTGAGAAAAATAATTGCATTTTGATTCATATACACTTAAATGCTGTTACACTTCTAAACAGAAAATTGCTTTGTTTTCCTAAAAGACAACTAAGCAGACAGTAGGAAAGACAGACTACTTACCAATATTAACAAGACTGATTGAAAAAAAACAAGAATCATATGTCAGTCCCTAATTTTTTTTACTCTGAGCATTATCTGTGGAGTGAGTCACCGCCTTCTGAAGTGCAATGTTCTGCAAGGACCTCTGAGCTCTGAAGAGGAGTAGTGGTATTGTCCTAAATAAGACTTCATGCAAATAATACAGTTAACAACTATCCTTCCTTACTTGCTCTTGCTCTCATCAGAACTATCCACAGAACTTCTGAAAACTGTAGGATTAGGGTAAACTTGGTGCTATAACTTGCAGAATGAAGATTGTGAATGACAGATAGAACTGTCTGTTTATTTCTGAAATTTATGCTCTTCAAACAGACAAAACAGGACAGAATGAAAATACTGTGTTTTGTCAGTTTATAAATTATTAAAATCATAAATTATTACTAGCTAGGATGAGCATGAGTCAGTATGTGGTTTAAACACATAACGATAATCAAACCCCACTGACTACAGTTGAGTAAACCAGTAAGAGTTATCTTTTGACAGAGGTAACAAGCATTTGGGAACCTGAATTAAAACAGTTCTCTGTCTTGCTAGAAAATAAAGGTATTAAGACACATAAATCTTTTGAATGTCAAGAAAACTGAAGAGTCTGCTTCATTACAGTGTGGATAGCTATCATTTGAGATTAGATAATATATTTGGTTTCTCCATTATTTTAGAAAGGGCTGTAGCATTTATTCCTACGTTATGTTTAACGTAACAGCAGACAGGTGTCATTGTAATAGGAAACCTATCTTAACTAATGAAGGGATAAAAATGTGCCATTAGGAAGCCATTAGTAATCTGAACTGAGCCATATTGCAAATTAATGTGTCTCAAAAATCTGCAATTCTGTGTTTAGCTCTGTTGTCCTAGATATAATTTCCAACATTTACTTTTATGTAGCACGGTAGATAAGAGTTTTAGAGAGAGTCACAAAAAGGCCAGAGATACAGAACTAAAAGAATCAGTTAGCCATTATCAGCCTAATTGATTGTATTAAGTCAAAGTCTTTTCAAGAGAAAATTGGTAATAGTTATAATTAATAGTAAGTCTCAGAACTGAAATGTATAGTCTGAGAGAAAAACATCTTCAAGCATATACTCATGTGATTTCATATGTACTGCTTCAGGAGGTATGCCCATATTTAAAATAATCCTTAAACACATTTTTAAACATATTGTTTAATGTAAACATATCGAATAATGCTGAAGTGTTGTGATCTCAAATCAACATGGAAATTATTAAAAATTCTGATAATTTCCATACCTGCACTGTTTTTTTCTATATGTTTTCGACATTATAACTTTAGACTCTCTGAGCCTAGAAAGTCTTCCCCTTAAGAAGTGGAAGGTCTGAGGCTTTTTTATTTGTTCCTTTCCTTTTTTTTTCCCTAGCACATATACACATGGATATAAATACCCATGAATAGTCCTAATTGCTTAGGTCATATCAGACCTCTCACTGGTCTGGGAAAGATTTTTTTTTGGATCATTGAATTTTGCCCCACATTTTTAGCCCAATATGCATTAAATTGTGAACAGCAGTTTTGCAACTCTAGCAGTGGCCTCACTATAAATAAGTTTGAGATAAAATCGTAAGAAAACAAAATGTCATTTCAGTATCATGGTACAGTGATTTCATTTATGATAAATATTCCATGCTTTTTATTGCTTGTACATTCACTTGCCTACACTCTCTCTCTCTCTGACATGAGAACACATACATGGACAAAAAACTATATTACAACTTCAGTAGTTTAGTTGTGAGTGGGACTGTAGCATACTTGTGTCGAATCTCTCTGTGGTAATTTATCAGAAAACGGAACTGGACTCTAAAAGAAAGTGGCAGCAATAATGTTCTTAATGGTCTCCTAAGGGCGTTGTGTGCAGTAGGGACTATTACTTGCAAGGTCAGGTCTTTCCTCAATCGCACTGCCACACAGGAAATTTGTGTAAAAGACTGTAAAATGCCTTTATTTTGCTTTAAATTATTTTTTTCTTACTTTACTATTATTTATTACATCCAAAAATTACTGCAAGTAGACTATTTAACATAGCTAAAACAGCTTTAAAATATAGAGGAAAATGTATGGGCATAGTATTGCTTTATGGTGCAGAAGGCCTTTAGAGGGCACTGTTTCCCGTTTTTCGTCAGAAATACATCTTTACATTTCAGGTACAAACAGAAACTGATTAATCAGTAGACTGGATAAATGTAATTATTATGGAAATAGTATAGTATTATTGTTATTATATACAGAATTTAGGGATGTATACAGCAACATAAATACTCATTCTGTGTTTGGGCATATATCAGTAACTTCATTTTGTAGTATACCAGCTGTTTCACGTTCTTACACAGGCAATCGCACTTAGGACAGTGTACTTTGCATTGTACTGCTACTATATACCTGCAAATAGTTATTCACAATGACTAGTAATACACATCAGAAAAAAAGATGAAAAAACAGGTGAATTCCTATCTCCATGTGTGAATGGAGCTCTAAAAAGCTGTGCTTAAAGGTCCTTCCTAGGAATTTTCCTCTTGGCCTGACTATAAATTCTAAGGTCTCATTTAATAAGTTTGGCATACAAAAAAAAGTGCATAAAGCATATTCAGTGAAGAAGAAATGTTCTGAGTTTAGTAGTAAGCCTCTACAGAGTGATAATATATGATCATGGACACTTTATTGCTTATTCTCTCGGCAGTTCTGATCTGTTTACTGAAGAATAGCAAAAACTATGTACATCTTATTAACATTTTAAAACCTCAAACTCTCGTTGGCAGTAGAGCTAGGAATCATTCTGATCATTGTGCCACTACTTGTACTTACTATCAAAGCCCAAAATAGTTTTAGGAGGTACTCATGCCAGTTTTGGATACCTGTCATTACTGTAGACAATTATTTTTTTTTTTAATTTAAAAATGCTTAAATTAAAATCAGTATCTAAAATCTCATTCTATTATTAGTCTACATGCAGAGTAATTAGTACTAGTGGCCTATGGAACACTTTTAATCCACTTTGTCTGATCAGGCTTTTTTTGAAGTTTAGCACAGCATAATTTATTAATTGGTATTTTCTAACTACTGATTGACTAATGTCTATTGTAATGTAAGTTCCCATCTGAAATCTCTTCATTTACTCTTCTGCCTTTTCTGCTAAGTATGTGGAATCTTCTCTCTCTCTCTGAATTGGCTCAGAGGTTTGGAGGGAAGATCGTATTTCCTCTATTCACAGAATCACAGAACTGTTGAGGCTGG